AAGCAGTTATTAATGAGACATGTCATCTCTAAGACCATAAAAAAATCTAAGACTCCCTTGCCAGCAGTCTCTAGTTAGTCTTAAATCAGAAACACTTGTGATTCTGAAGCTGTATCAATTAGGATTTGACTTGGGAACTATTATTCTTCAGATAATTGATCATCTGTTACTCATACTGTTGACAGTTCCTTTATCACTGCCCAACCCTTAAAGATGGTAGGCAGTGAAGCTCAACCTTCCATTGTTACAGAGTTGAACATCCCACCTTCATTCTAGCCCAATGACAAATAACTTTAAACATTTCCCACCGTGCACCATTATCAGTTCAGTTAATTCATTAGATATTGATAAGCATATTATGCCACATACTTGAAGCATACAAAGGCAAATGAAACATGCTCTTGAGCTCCTTTGAGCTGGGATACAGTCCCCAAGGAAGAGGCTCCTGCAGGGCTGAGACCCAGACCTGGGATGGCACAGTGTGGCAGAGAAGTTGCTGTGTTGCAGTACTATAGAACATTGTGGAAATCTGCTCCCTGGAATTTACTGGAAATCTGTCCAACAGAATGCCAGGAAAATCTGTTCTTGAGGAGGTATCTCACCAGAGGTACTTCAAAAAAAAAAAAAACCAAGGGTGGCGGAGGTGTCCTGGGAAACAGTCAGTAGCTGCTGCTGACTACTGTGTAGTACAGGAGCCTGAGCCCAAGAAACCACCCAAGTACGGAGGCCTGCCAATCAAGCATACCAGAACTAGAAAACAAGACCTTCTGTCTTATAATATCTCTCCAGAACCCCCTACTGACATGGCTTACTAACACTATGCCAGCAATAAGGGATAAATATTCAAAGGACCCAAATGTATTTTCCCAATACCAGGCAAAAACAATAAATTCAGATTTCAAACATAATACATAGATAATTGGCACAAGAAATTTTTAAAAATTAAAAGCAAAAACAATTGTCTATGTTTACAGAATTAAAGTCCAAAATCCTGTGCACACAAGCACTTCTCTCATCTGGGTGTTTACATTAATTATGCTATTTATGCTGTTCCTTTTTCTTGAAATGTCCCCATATCATTCTTTGCTTTTCAATTAGGAAAGCCTTTGTAAGAATCCTACTATAAGCCAGGCATGGTGGCACATGCCTGAAATCCTATAATCCTAGCATCTGGAAGGGGGAAGCAGGAAGATTATGAGTTTGAGGCTAGGCTGGGCTAGTAACAATCTTACCCACTTGCTATGTCGGTTCATCCTCTTAACAACCGTGTGAGACAAAAGAAGGAAGGTAATATTCTCTTTTACAAATATGAAACTAAAAACACAGATCTTAAGAAGTATACTTACAGAAGTGGCCTATACTTGATACCACTGTCTTGCAAAGGTCCTGTGGTAGTTTGCAGGCATAAAATTACATTTAGAATTCAGAACTCCTAAGAGCTCAAATGTTGTTTTTTAACAATTTGTTTTGGCTGGCAAACATATCTAAAAGAAGAATTATTTCAATAACTGAAACAAAGCCAATTGTTTGCCTTGAAATTCTCTTTACAAAAAAATGTATAAGGAATAGTAGGGTAGAAATCCAGCATATATAAACAAAAGAAAAATCTGAATGAGATGACTGGCAGGAACTGGTTAAAACTGCTCTAAAGTTGTATTCTCTTGACTAAGTCAATAGATGTGGATGTTAACTAGTTAGTCATAAATGGAGAGTTAAGGGAGTAGGAATGCTTTTCATATGACCACTTCATACAAACAGTTGCCTGTGGTGTTTGGATTTGCAAAATACATGAATTAAATTAGAGTTCAGTTTCACTTTCATGAAGGATTTTTTTATGGGTTTCCATAATGTATTTAAAGCATGATTCCATTTATAGAAATTCTATTTTAATTTAACCTATCAAGAAAGCATCAAATTTTAATAAAACAAGGTAGAAAATGATTCAATTTAGGCTAAATTGTAATGGTTCTTTGAAGAGATAGCAATGTCCTAAGTAGAAAAGTAAAATTACAATCTACTAGTGGAGATGAAACTAACACCTTATAAACACACAAACATCTCAGAAAGTTATGCATAAAGCATTTATTGAATGCTAAATAACCCTGTGATGGCTTGGGTATGATTTGAGTGTGTCCACAAAGGTTCATGTACTAGAAGCTTAATCTTCATTGTCCCAACGGTGGGAGGTGGTGGAACCTCTAAAAAGTGGAGCCTTGTGGAAGGTGATTAGGTCTAGGAGTTCTTATCAATAGAGCAAGACAGGCCTGTCCCTGACCTCTGGCTTCCTGTCTCACCATGTTGTATCTCTTTCTTGCATGTGCTCCCACTGTGATAACATCCACCAAGATGGGATGCAGGAAAGGTGGCCCTCACCAAAGGGTGAATTAATGAGTCAGTCTGATCTAGGACTTCGGTTTCCGCAACTATGAGCCAAATAAACCTCTTTCTTTATACATTACCCACTCTCAGGAATTTTGTCATAGCAATAGAAAATATATAAATACAAACTCCAAGGTAGGACCATCAAGAAAATAAGTTCAATGATTTTGCTACAAAAATAGGTAAAATGACTAAATGTTGATGTGTCTGGTAAATGGGGAAAGGATGCTAATTCTGACAACCTTACCACCACCCGTACCTCCAATTAATAGCCTCCCTTTAATTACCCCCCTTCCCTTAACCCTTAGTCATACTTAGCTTTCTCTGCAGTTTCCATACCTACTGTGCAACAATTAGATTCCAAACCAAATCTGTGAAATAAAGGACATATTGGAAACTTTAACATTAAATCTAAGAAAGAGAATGCTTCAAAATTCAGTGATTTGTGCACCTTTGTTACAGGATTGTGAGAATGCAAAGTTGTGGAAGTATCAAGCAACCCTTTAAAACTTTTAATTCTGAAATAATTACAAGGACCTCTTGAATGTTCTGTATCCAAATTCATTGATTGTTAAAATTTTGCCATATTTCTTTATTAATGCTATCTGCTATTTCAGACAAGACCAAGAGTGTTCACAATGGTATGGCCATAGACGTCATCTATCTTTTCAATCGTCTGAGAATAAACCGAGACGTCATTTCCTTTTATCTGTAAATATGTAAATGTATATTTTTTATGAACAAGGACATTATCTTACAAGGTCATAATACAATTATATAAATCAAAAAATGTGAAGTGATTACAATATTATTATCTAAAATTCATATTTAAATTTTGCCAATTGTTCTTTCAAGCTATTTTTCCCTAATCCATGATCCAATTCAACATCACTCATAGATTTAGTTGCCCTGTCTCTTTAGTCCCTGCTTCAGCCTTTTGCATGCTTGGATTATAGGCATACGACACTACAACCACCTTTCTTTAGTCTTTTTTTTGGGGGGGGCCTTGGGTTTGAACTCAGGGCCTCAATCTTGCTAGACAGGCTCTCTTACCACTTGAGCCACTCTGCCAGTGCTTTTTTGTGATTTTTTTTTTTTTCTTTTCCAGATAGGATCTGGCTAACTATTTGCCTGGGGCTGGCATCCTCCTGATCTCTGTCTCCTGAGTAGCTAGGATTACAGGCATGAGTCACCAGTGCCCTGACTCTTCAGTCTCTTTTAATCTAGCATAATTCCTCAGTCTTTGTCTTTCATATTAATATCTTCTAAAGCATGAGCCAGTAATATTAATTTGTCTGTCTCAAATGCAAATTATGCATTTTTGTGTATGAATACATCATGGTAAAAGGCACATGATGTCAATTCCTCCCAAAACTTAGCCCTTTTTTCTTTCTGATTTTTTTCTTTTGGGGGGTATTGGGATTTGAACTCAGGGCCTCACACTTGTGAGACACGCTTGCTACCACTTGAGCTACACCCTCAGCCCTTTTTCATTTTTAGTTGTTTTTTAGATAGGATCCTGTTTTTTTGGCCAGGGTGAGCTTCAGACTATGATCTTCTTTCCTATGCCTCCCAGTAGCTGCGATTACACCACATGTGCCATCACACCTCACTTATTAATGAAGATGTGGTCTCACTAACTTTTTGCCAGCTTAGCCTCAAGCCAAGATCTTCTGTAGCTCTGTCTCCCAAATAACTGGGATTATAAGTGTGTACCGCTACACCAGGCCCCCTGTTAGTCTTGATGATTTGGTGGTTGATCTTGATCATTTCTCTCTTGGAAACATTTTTCATCTTTGTAATTAATATATAATTTGTGGGAAGTTATTTTGAGATTATGTAAATATTGTTCTTCATGTTTTAGAAGCTAGTTTTGGCATCTTTTGATCATTCTTGTCTAATACAATTGTTTTGTTGGGATATAATTCACATGTAATAAAATTCATTATTTTAAAGTATTCAATGTTTTTAGTATGTTCACAAAGTTGTACACCATCACCACTATCTCATCCCATTTTTCAACACCCCAAAAAGAAAGTCTGCTTCCATTAGCAGTCACGCCCCTTCCACTCTCCCTCCAGCCTCTGGCAACCTCAAATCTACTTTCAGACATCTCATATAAGTGTCATCATACAATATGTGGTCCTTTGTGTTTGATTTCTTTCACTTAACATATTTCCAAAGTTCATTTGTGTCGCATTTTTCATCCTTATTTTATTTCCTTTTATTTGCCTAAATCAATCATGACTATGATTCGTGCGAAATGGTGATGTTCTAACAACAACCTTCCAGCTGTACTATTATGGCAACAATATTTTATCATCCTTTGTCAGGAAGCTCTTTAAGAAAACTGCACCAATAAAGCTCATTTTAATAAACAGAACTCCTTGTCCTTAAGAAGTTTCCAATCTAAGACAAAAAATGGCCTAAACCACTACCTTTCTTGGGATTTACAGTATTTTCTCTCCTTTCCAGTGGCATAAACAGCAACGTGGCCATCTCTTTCTGCCTGTCACCCCAGAGGCTCCTCCCTCTTGCTCTGGTGCCCCCTCCTCGGAGGTTGCAGGAGGCGGAAGTGACGCACCGGAAGTGCCCCGTTCCCCTAACTGTGGGGGAAGGAATCAAACTCCTAAGATGGCGGCGGCGGCGGAAGAGCGGATGGCTGAGGAGGGTGGCGGCGGCCACGGTGACGGCGGCTCCTCTTCGGCTGCTGGCTCTGTTCAGCGACAGCCCCCTTTGCCCCCGCCCCAGCCCCCTCAGCCGGGGTCCCAGGCGCCTCCAGCCCCGGCGCTGGCTCCGGACCAGCTGCCTCAAAACAACACGTTGGTGGCGCTGCCCATCGTAGCCATCGAGAACATCCTCAGCTTTATGTCCTACGACGAAATTAGCCAGCTCCGCCTGGTGAGCCCCCCCGCGGGACCCCGCCGCCCTCTCCTCTGGGCCGAGGTCTTGGGAGGGGAGGCGAGGGGAGCGTGGTCCCGGGGAGGGAGACCCCGCGAGCCCCAGCCGGCTCCAGCTCCCGGAGCGCGCCCCTCCCGCCAGAAACTGGCCCTCGGCGTAGGTCACCGGCGGGGGGCCGCTTCCGGTTGGCGTTGGTTGTGGGGCTGGGGGCGACGGACTTCGCTTTGGGGGTGTACTTGCCCCCCGTCCCCCGCCTGGAATCGGTAGCGAAGTTGGGCTTCCCAGCTTTATGCTCGCCTTGAGCGTGGACCCCCCCACACCCAGGGGTCGCGTTGCCTCTTCTATATGGCCTTTCAGCCCCGGCCCGGTTAAGGGAGAAACTCACTAGTAAGCAACTGATCCCAGGCAGGCTGGGTTAGCCTTGTAAGAATAACGCATTGTTTACCCGTCCGCCCAAGCTTCCTTGTTGGAAAAGATGAAGCAGTGTTGATGGGTCCCCCCACTAAAAAAAAAAGAAAAGAAAAAAACAGTAGAGGTTCTGAACGTCCGAATCCCAGCGTCCTAACTGACCACCAAAGTAGCGCCCTGGGAAGTGACGGTGCCCACCCTACTTCATCCTGACACATCCCATCCACACAAGCAACTTGACCCCTGGACAGTGTTGGGGTGTTTTTTCTCTTGCAATTCATTAAAGAAAACCAAGTCCTTTACGCCCACCTGCCAGCAGTAGAAGAGGATTATTTATACCTTAAAATCACAGTTGTTTGGTCCAAGCTTAAAAAAAAACCAAAAAACCTAAATTTGACATTGGACTTCTACTTCACCCCAGAGGTTTGACTGAAGGTTTCATGAATGTCTTGATTCAGTCAGATATTTTGCTTCCTTTCAGTGAATTTATCTTCAGGTGGTCAGGAAATTGCAGGAGGTGGACATTTTGAAGTGATTGCGAGACGCTTCAGTGTGGATACTAAATCTGCTTTGGATTGTTTTTTAAGAGGACAAAGACGTGTTTCTGACTGTACGCTGTATAGCATTTTAAAAAACTTATCAGTGTGCCATATTTTGAGCTTACACCTCCAGTTTAAAATTAATTATAGTTGCTTTTAAAAAATATGTAAAAGCAAGCTGATAAATGTTAATTCAAACTGATGGGCAGTTTTTTTTTCTAGTCAATACAACAGTTCAACCATGCCAAACAACAGAATGGAGAATTTCTTCAGTTGAAAACAGATATGTCAAAATTGATTGCCTCTGATTTTCAAAACATGTCACTCTAGACTTTTGTCTAGACTCTTAAATATTCCTTCATATTTTTACAAAGAAAGGTGTTTGATCAAAATTGACGATATATGTATGTGGGCGTACATAACATTTGATTGAATTCAGCCAGTCAAGCAGACAATGGCTTTGTAAAGCTTGGACTGTTTAAGTTACATTTTGCCAAGGAAAACAGGTTAGACGTTTTAGTATAGGTGGTGGTTGTTCACACCCACCTTGTACGTAGTAGATAAGTAAGTGCTCTACCAATAAGCTACACCCCTGACCCTCTTTATACTTTTTTGAAGTTAAAACAGGTTTTGGGGAAGGGGGGGACGGGGACAGCCTATGCTAAGGAGACAAGAATTAGAATACGTCTCACAACTTATTAATAAATGGTATCTCTTTCAAGTGGGATGTGTAGCAACATAGTTAATTTTTAAGCAGCTATCTCTTCTGGCCTTTTAAGGTTAAAGATTTATAATTTTAAATAACAAGTTTTTCTTAAGGAGTTCCTTTAGTACCAATTTCCACCCTTACCTCCCAGGAACTCTTATTCTTTTCTTTACTTAAGGTCAGTAGGTAATTCTTAACTAGATTAAATGGATAATCTTTTGTGGGAATTTAGAAGTATCTTGGTTTTAGATTCATTGGTTTGGTTTCAGAAGGTACAATTCAGATAACATTAAAGAAATGTTCTTGTCACTAGGTGTCAGCATTAATTTAATTATGATCTTTATATGAAATTGACAGAAAACAGACATTGCCTGGTTAAGTGCTTTGTATTTAATCTTTTCAATTTAAGTGGCCAAAAAGAATCAAGTCACTTAAGTATATGGTGTCTATATAACAAAGTTCCTGTCATTGATTTTTTTTTTTCAGTAGAATTAAGGTTCAGTATTCTTGGAAGGCAATAATACTAAAAACAGAATTAGTTTCTGTAAAGCCAAACGTCAGCTAATTTGGGGCTAATGAGCTAGTTTCTGCCTTGTTCATGTGTGTTTTGGTTTATTCTTCCCAGTTTGCTGAATTGCCTTATCCTATAAGATATCAATCATAAGTATTGTTAGCACCTAACTTAGAGGACAGGTACATAATCTGTTATTCTGTATTTTCTTTAAAAGATTTTCTCTAAGTTGAAGTTGGGCTACAATAACATTTTTCAACTAATTTTGCAAGTTAGATAATAATATTTGCTTCTTGTTACCATAAATAATTGAAATTTGGCTGTCCAGTTTAGTGATTTCCAAGGGACTGTCTGAATGTCCTCTTAAATTGGATCTTTTTCTATCATTAAATACTGCTGTAAAACTATGCCTAGAGCCTCAAAGTCCTGGTTATGCAGAAGTAGTTTTAAATATTTAACTCCCCCACTGTATTTTAAATTATTTGATTGAACCCAACTTTTGAAATGACAAAATGTGTACTTTGAGTTGCTTTCCCATTAAAACAGACAAATTTGTGCTGACGTAGCATTAGCATGTCACCTGGTTTTTTGTAGGTAGTGCATGAGAAACTTTGAAACAAGTAGCAAAGGGTAAGAAGTGAGGTTCTACCCTTAGAAAGCTGATAAAAGCTAACTTTGAACCTGTTCCTTTGACTCATGAACACAATATTCTTACCTGCAAAACGTAAGTATGAGAGGATTTAAAAGATGTTTTAGAGAGAGAGACTATCACAGTTTTCCCCCTGTACTTCAAATGCAGTACATGTAAAGGAGTTATCAGAGCTTCAGAACATGAATTTGTGGGTTAAATTGAGAATACTTGCTTATTTTCTAGAATGAGATTTTCCAGTCAGCAACAAAATACATAGAGCTGTGCTTTGTTCCAAGACATTTCTCTCTCTCTCTTTTTTTTTTTTTTGGTGGTGCTGGGGTTTGAACTCAGGACTTTGCTCGTGTGAGTCAGGCACTCTACCGCTTGAGCCATGCTCCCAGCCCTGTCCCAAGATACTTCTCTAGAATACTGTTAAGTAGTTAAATCTGCTACCTGTTTATAGTTATTTTTTCAATAGAGCCTCTTGTCTGGGACCAGTCTGCAACATGATTTTCCTATCTATGTCTCCTACACAGCTGGGATTGCAGGTGTGCCCCACCACACTTGGCTTGTTTGTTGAGATGGGAAGCCCTCTTAACTTTTTGCCCAGGCTGTCCTCAAACTGGGGTTCTCCTGATCTCTGCCTCCCAAGTAGTGAGGATTACAGAGTAATAATAAGCGTTACAGGTATGGACCACCACATGGGGCTGGTAGTGGGGTTTGTTTTGAACCTAGAGCCCCATGCTTGCTAGGCATAGAGGCAGTTGAGCCAGAGTAGATAGTCTGCTTTGTATACCTCACTTTGTACCAGGAGTTCTCAAATTTTTGTCTCAAGACACGTTTACACTCTTAAGAATTACTGTTTAAGCCCTGAGTTCAAACCCTAGTACCACCAAAAAAGGAAAAAAGATTATTGAAGACCCTGAGAACTTACCTTAGAAAATTGTAGAAAACACCGCACATAATTCCTGTAGCTGTCAAAACAATAATGTCATCATATTATTGCTATATTGCCCATAGAAAATTCCACTGTGTACTTAGAATAAATGAAAAAGTCGATTAACATCTTAGCATAATAAGAATAGTTTGGTCTTGCAGACCTCCTGAAAGAGTCTTGGGAGATCTAGTGTCCCCAGACCACATTTTAAGAACCACTTCTCTGCATTTCTGTTTTATAGAGAAAATTCTTGCTAAATTTTAGTTGGGTTTTTTCTCTCCCATCACTTCTTCCACTGTTGATCTTGTTAATAGGTACTTAAGTACAGATAAGAAATAACAAATCTCTTAGGGACAGTTCATTCTTCCTGTTAACTCCCAAAGTAAAGGGGTTCAACCAGTAACATTGTCTGCAGTGTCGTTGTGAAGACATAATGCATGTGCTTTCCTTGAGCATACTCAGAAAGCCTGCAAGTCACAGGGCAAAGATCATAAATCCAAGAGTGCTGAGGTTAATTGGAGAGACTTCCTCAAGAAAATGGGTTTTATCAGGAAGTAAAAGTGGACGAATATTCCCAGCAGGAAAAAAAAAAATTTTGAAGTAATGAAGAATTTGGAGAGGGGTGATTTAGAGGGATTAAGGTGAGCTTGAATTTGGAAGTGTGAAGGTTTAAATGTTCTGGATTATTGATCAGTTTCCTAGTATGCCTCAAATTTTTTTATTTCATGGACAGTGAAACGTAAGAAACCATTTTTGAGAATCTCCAGGATGAACAGTTTTGGTGAGGGACTTCAATAAAACTACTTTTTAATCTTTTATCATCATTATAATTTCATAAAAGAGACTAGCTGTATCTGCATACCTGTGCTATAGTTTGGATCTGGAATGTCCCCCAAAGGTCCATTTGTTGAAGACTTTGTCCCCAGCTTGGGACTGTTGGGAAGTGGTAGAAATGTGAAGAGGTGAGGCTTTAATGGGAGGTTTTAGATCATTGGAGGTATGCCCTCAAAGGGGATGGTGGGAACCCAATGTCTTAGTCTCTTACTTCCCCACAACAAAGTGAACAGTTTACACTCCCACAATGAGGCTATTCCCCCCACCTCCCAGCATCACCACAAGTGACCTAAAAAGAATAGCTTCTAATAAGTTGATTACCTCAGGTTCCAATAGCAGAAAGTTGGCTTGATGTACTGAATGGTACAGATTCTTAGAATATTGAAGAAAGGTACTATGTTAAAAAGATGACTTTTATGCATATGAATCCAGTT